GTAGAGTGCCATGGCATCACAGCTCACAGCAACCTCCAACTCCTGGGCTCAAGCGAGTCTCCTGCCTCCGCCTCCCAAGTAGCTGGGATCACAGGCACCTGCCACAACGTATTTTTTGGTTGCAGCTATCGTTGTTTGGTGGGCCCGGGCTGGATTCAAACCCGCCACCTTAGGTGTATGTGGCTGGTACCTTAGCCACTTGAGCCACAGGCGCCAAGCCAAGACTCCATCTCTTAAAAAAAAAAGCTAGCCGGACATTGTGGCAGACAACTATAGTCCCAGCTACTTGAGAGGCTGAGGCAAGAGAATCACTTGAGCCCCAGAGTTTGACATTGCTGTGAGCTATGACACTATAGCACCTACTGAGGTTGACAAAGTGGGACTCTGTCTCAAAAAAAAAAAGATTCCTACTGAAGTTCTTTTTCAGAGACATATAGGGATTTTTCCCCCATGCCTTTGTTTGAATTGCTCATCAGTCAAGAACAAGTAGGAAAAAGGCAAATATAAGTGCCCCACTACCTACTTGCCCCTATCCTAGGCAAGTCAAAGGGTCCAAAAAAAAAAAAAGAAAAGAAAAGGTGGAAATCTGTAGAATAGAGTCCCCCAAAATCACATCAATTTTAATTAGAATTCAGGACTCTTGTCTCCCATCAATCAAAATTTCATCTTTGGTAGGTGCTTTGTTTACAGCTCTCATAGGTACCTACAGTAGCATCCAAGGAAGGGGGAGCCTCCCTGGTCTAGAGGGTATTAGTATTCTTGCCATTCAAATCTCCAGATCCTCTCCCACTTTGTACTCTAGTGTTTAACCTTTCCGGGTAGAAGAAGATCAATACAAATTCTTCATTGTTAAGAATCGATGGCTGTCCTGTGGCATCATTGCCATCCAGTCTTGCTGAGAAGCCCAGTAAATCTCTCCAGCTGCTTCTAAAGCTCAGTTTGTCGTCTTCAGTTATTTTCATTTTTAATGCAGATCACTTTCGTTTCTGTTCCCCTGGGGGCTTGCAGATAAATCTTGGCAGACATGTTCAGGGTCTACAAATGAGATTCTGGAAAAGGGCCAGCCCACCCAGAATTTAGTTGTAATGGATGAGACACCCCCTTGTTTCCACTTAAAGACAGGGGTATTCAGTTCAGTACTTATTAGTGATTGCCTCATATAATACCTGGGTGGGAAGTGCCTAGGATGAAGTTCCAGAGAAAACCAAAGTGTGAGCTGTGATGCAGAAGCTTGCTGGCTAACTCTGCCTGTCTCATACAGGCAGCCCCTGAGTTACAAACATCCAAACTACGTACAACTCACACTTACGAACAGAGGCAGAGTAGGTAGATGTACCTGTTTCGACTTACATACAAGTTCAACTTAAGAAAACCTACATAACCTATCCCATTTGTAACCCAGAGACTTCCTGCATTAGGCAGAAGTTGGAGACTTGTGATCTTTCAAATGCATAAGGAAGAGAAGCAATAGATAGTTTAGATACCCTGGATCAAGAAAGTCTGACAAGAAATCTCTGTGTGCTGCTTACTTACAAACCAAGTGAAAAATTACCTGCTTTGGGGCGGCACCTATGGCTCAGTGAGTAGGGCACTGGCCCCATATACCAAGGGTGGCAGGTTTGAACCCTGCCCCGGCCAAACTGCAACAAAAAAAAATAGCACAGCATTGGGCGGCACCTGTGGCTCAAAGGAGTAGGGCACCGGCCCCATATGCCAGAGGTGGTGGGTTCAAACCCAGCCCCAGCCAAAAACTG